TAACCATTAGAATTTAGTGCTATGGACACAGCAGGCATGTTTTCAATCTCATTTCTCAGGCAAGTAAATAGTTATAAAGGGTTTTCTGGAAAAGATTAGTTCAAAATGTTATTAAGGCTTAACTCCTGGGTTTAGAGGGGAAAAAACGAAGTCCCCCCCCCCTTCTATTCCAGCTCATCACATAAACATTTTTCTACATACAACGTATTGTGCAAAACTGCAGCTCCATACATACTGGATTCTGCTTTCATCTGATCCTCCAAAGCTATTTTCCCCACAGGCTGCCAATGAAAAATATCAGCGGAAAGCAATTCGCCAACACTTTCCTTTCTTTCTCCATAATCTATGTCTTGCATGAGCTGTAATTTGTATGAAGGGTTTTCTTCAATTTATCCATGGCAGGCATTTCGTTTTCTGGGGTTGGGGTGGGGAGTCTAAAAAATAAAAAAAGCAGGGCTGGTAGGGGAAAGGATTCTTATGGCTTTACCTATAAACTATAAACTACAGGGTCTGAAGATAATGCTTATAGAGTATTTGCAAATATAATTGCTGTTATAATGCTGGACCACTGCTTAAATTACATTAAGTAGAATATTAGCACTAAGCAATATGTGCTATAACTCACTTAGCCATGAAAAATGTTATCAGTTACATGCACGTGATGTAAAAGATTTCCTCAGTGATGTTTCTGAACAATATCATTTAAGTTACAAAGCTGTAATCTAAGCAAAATACTAGTGTTTGATGTCTTTTAACGTATTATTTACACAAGTCCTGTTAGAAGGCTGGAGGCAGTCATTGTACAACATGTATGTTCCCATAAAAAATGATGGTCACTGGTGAATGGTGTGGGTTTATAATATGTACAAATACACAGCATGTCTGCAGTTATCTTATTCGGCTACTCTGACCAGTAAGCAACACATGTAAGCATCATATGCACATAAAATTAGGATAAAACAAAATTTTAAACTGCCCAGATAACTGTTTGTGTTTATAAAATAATACAGAAAAAGGCTGTGCAGTTGGGAGCTTTTAGTGGCCCACTGAAAGAATAGGAATTTTAATGGGGGAAAAAAAATCCCCCCAAACACAAGGCCAATCAGATGAATACATTGGTCAAATGTTTTAGACAGCTGTCCTGAAAACAAACTGATAAACATAAATACACAATCTGTTCATTGAGCATCAAATATCACACAAGACTCAATATTCCATACTTCTAGACTTCATAATGGTTTGTTACTGATATTGTTGTCTTTTCTAAACAAACAAAATAACATTCATATCCAGTAATACTGTTAGAACCTTGTTTTATCCATTAACCATATTCCGGACTTCTTTATGGCAATGGTAAGTCAAAGGTAAAGATTTGGCGGAGATATAAAGGCAAATAAGATGGTGAAATATACAGACATATATGTATATATATATATATATATATGTACATATGACACAAGTATGTCCCTCCAGTCACTAAGTGTATACCAGTCCCTTCAGCGGAGTCTCAGTGCTGGTCAGACAGTGGTGGAGTATGACTCCCTTCTTGGCGGCTGCGGCGGAGCTGCCTGGCCGCCCTCTCTGGTCTCTAGCGCAATGTCTTCTGTTTCGCTCTCACTCCCGTCTGCCACGGTTGGGTCCAAAGACAACGGGGCAGACTTCCGGTGCAAAGGGAAACCAGCACCACCTTCCTGTAAGGAATGATCTATGCAGTCTTCATCCGAAGAAGGGAATGAGTCCTCATCTCCAATTAAATGGTTGACAATGTGGATCCCATCAAAAGGGGGTCGGCTGGAGAAGCCCCTCTGGCCTTTCAGGCATCTGAGCTGTTGGAACAAAAACCCAGGTTAATTTACTTCACTGGGGGAGGGGGACGCCCACAAGACAACAAGCGAATGATCCATGTGTTTAAGGACATCTTGATCTACTGCTATTTACAAACACAAGAACTGCATTTTTTGGGGGGGCAGTGAGGTGGGGTTGTCTCAGTGCCTCCTTTGTGTCGTGTAACGGGCACGTTCGATATGTTATTTTAACTGACTGGTCACAGATGGTTGGTTTTCATATCCCCATTTTACAGATGCGGAAATGGAGCCTCCAGGAGAGTCACTGGCAAAGGACACACAGGTAAAAACGTTAGACTCCAAGAAAATCGTTTACGTCTTCTATCACAGGCCCCAATAACAAGTCTTTAAACATTTTTTATCATGACCCCTGACCTAACTTCAACCAACTTAGCACCTCACACACTATCTTGTTAGGCTATACTGTTCTCACCTCTGGAGTTTTGTGAAGCAAATCCCAGGCATTTTATTAGTTCAGCTGCGAGCATTTCAGTCAATAGACTTTAATGTCATACTCTTGGCTAGCACATAAACTGTACACTGTCTACTTGAGAGCTGTCTCCATGAAAACCATTTTACAAATCATTGAGATTTCTTAACCGTCTCCACCCTGCAGTAAGGCAATGGCCACGGGACCACTCTCCATCTCGTGATGGGGCAGGGGTGCTCCCGCTTTCTCGCCCCCCCCCCTCCCTGGGGTGGCTGTTCTCTCTCACAGGGAACAGGGAGAGAAATGGTGTCCACAGCTCAGCCCTGCCCCTCTCCTCTCTGCTTGGGAGTCAAGCTCTGCTGCTTTGTTCATGGAGTTTTACCGAGAGACGCCCTCACGTGGGGAGGAGGCTGGCAGTGCTCAAAGGCTCCCTGCTGCTAGGTGGGCAAATCTGAGTTCGAGTCTGACAAACCTGCTGTCAAGCATCTAACCCACATTCTCCAAACCCAGTCTTATCAGTCGGCGAGGTGATTTCTTTCGGTCATCGTGATTTCTCTGGCTGAGCCCTCTTACAGCCCTGTGCCCTTCCCCAGGAGTCCACGCGCCATCACTGCCGCGGACATAATGAAGACAGGAGCCTTGCCCTCAAGCACTTGACTTAAAGTTTGGTTTGGATATCCTGTGACTAGTCTCATTCCTCTGCCACATTGTGATTAAAGCTCTCCCATAATACAGAAAGAATAAAAGAAGGAAAGAAAAGCAAGTTAGAAAAAAAGGCTCCAACTATGCTCTTCCTTGACCGACTCCACACGTCTCGCTGACACAGACACTCCACAGACCCTCACCATTGCTAGCCAGCGTGCTTCTCTGGGACCAATTCCTCGTCAGTTCACTACCTGCTACTCTTGAGATAAGCGCCAAGTGAAACATTCAGGAAATGTTACACACACTTTCAAAACTAACGGCTCTGTGAGCACAGACATGACAGCCTGGCTCTCAGGCCTCCCGGCGTTCCCGACAGACTTCCAGGAAGAGGTGAAGAAACCTTGGCACGTCCCTGCTTGAATGTGGTAAGAAAGCAAGAGCACACTGGCCTCTGACCGTGAAGCACACAGAGAGAGTCCCAGGCCCTAGACCGAGAGACTACGATTAGACCGAGACAAACTGTCATTGCAGCAGCGGCGTCTTGGAAGGGCAGAAGGCCCCTGCACGGAGGGCGTGCACCTTTAGAAAGTGCACCGAGCACCTCAGCTCCTCAGTGCTGTGATGCCCCGTTAGCACCTCAACGGCCACGTTCTGGTGCAACATCCTATCAGCCCATTGCAACACTTGATTTATAGCTCCAAGTGTCAGAGTGAAGTCAGTTAATACCTTCCTTTATCTTTTCTCCCAGCCTCTTTGAAGAAATATTAAGGGACACGTGTCTCCCATCTTCCTGGCTGTTCTACAGGACAGACGCAGCCGTGGAAACTCAGTTTTGTTTGGAGAGCTATGGCTTTCCTTTGCTAATAAGTTACTGCAAGCTAAACACTACAGCCTCACACCAAATGCCAGTAACCTGATGGTGACTCCTAGTGACTCTGCAGGTCAGGGTCGAACCCCCCGTGAGTTCCCGAGCCTGTAATTCTATACAATGTTTTTCTCCTGAGAAGCAGCCCGTGGCTCCAAACTGCTGACCTTATGGGTAACCACTATCACCAGTGCTTCCACTCGTATGTAACAAGCAACCTCAAATATTGTATCAAATTAACTATAGGTTGAAGAGTCATTTCCTCAGCCTCAGAGAAGAGAGTTAACTTGTCCTTATTTGAGGACTGCTAGTATGGGGTGGCAAAAGTATGCCGGAGTATTCTTTGGAGAGAAGATAAATAAGGGCAGGCAAGGGGCTACCTAGTAAATGCAAAGAAAGTTTAACATTCTCTACAAATAAACTTACATTGTAATATCCATCTGGGAGATACTGTGTCTGGCATTCAGTAGAAATGGGCACAGAGACAATGAGTAATCAGTTTTTAAAATAACAAGGGAAAAACAGCCAGGCAAAATTTCGAGTCAGGTGGTGATTATTATCAAATTCCTACAGTATCATTGACCATTGCTTTCACCAATTCACATCTATCCCTCAGAGTCTTTGGCTTGAGACAGCAAGAAACACACTCAGATAACTTACATACAATAGGAATTCACTCAAAGAGCAAAAGAAAAAAGCGAAGAGACAAGTGGGCAAGAATCCCAGCGTCTCTCAGGAGCTCAGTAACATGCATGAAAGGACATTTGCGATACACTGACAGCAACCACTCTCATCATCCCTTATGCCACCATCAATGCCAGACAGAATGGGGTCCGGTGGCCACCACACCTCAGCTGGGAGAGGTCAGAGGGGACTAGAGACAGATCACCAGCTGGTGCACAATTGTTCAAAGTAGATGGGGGAAGCTGTCCTGGGAGGAGGAATTGGTGCAGTTAGGGAATTTCCACTGTGCTGGTCTAAGTGCACCATCATTAGCCATCCAGCTCTGTTGAGCGTCGAAGCATTGCTTCTAGTTCAAGTGGTCCCACACGTGTGCTTCAGCTATCAAGTGACTTAAGAAGGGCTCCCAGAGTCGACTTAAGACTTTATGGGGAAGGTGGGGGAGAAGGGGTAACTGATGCCAATGATCTACATATAACCCCGTCCCTCAGGGACGGACAGAAAAGTGGGTGAAGGGAGACATCGGACAGTATAAGATATGACAAAATAATAATGGCTTACATAAATTGTCAAGGGTTTGTGAGGGGGGGAGGGGGAAAAAATGAGGAGCTGATACCAAGTACTCAAGTAGAAAGAAAATGTTTTGAGAATGATGGTGGCAACAAATGTACAAATGTGCTTGACACGATAGATGTATGTATGGATTGTGTTAAGAGTTGTACGAGCCCCCAATAAAATGATTTAACAAAAAAAAAAGACTTTGGAGATTTCTTATGCAATGTATTATTAAACTTGTCCCTTTGTGGGCCTCTCTCGTCTCCAATTGCCTAACACTGGGGCATTTTATTTTTCACCACCATTTCCACCAAAATGTTTGAGAGAAGGGAAGTCAAGCAAAACCTAATTGCTTAATAGCCACAAAGAAAGAGCCAAAAACAAATTACCTTTGTGAATCAAATCTCAATTTTATTAAGCAGTGCTAAGGTTGGCAGTTCAAAGCCAGCAAATGCCCAAGGGAGAATGAAGAGGCTATCTGCTCCAGTAAAGATTTCATCTAGGAAACACTGCGGTGCCGCTGGGAGGGGGATCAGGGCTGTGGCAGCGGTCTGCTGCTGTTATTCCTGCCTTGAGGCGTCCTGCTAAGATTGGCAGGGTTGGAGACAAAAGTACAAATGGAAACTTCCAGGTGTGGCTCATGCCACCTGCCTCTTCCCCTCCCCTCTGCTTCCTGCTGTGCTGCAGGGGCTCCTGTACTTGCACTTGCACGCGGCACTCCCACCTGCCTGCTGGACTCGCCGCTTATCTCCAGCCTAACATTCAAACAGGCAGAAAGATATTTTAGGTGAACTTACAACTGGGAAGTCCTTCCTACTTCCTTGGTCTCCCCCCTCCCTATGGGGAGCCACCCCTGAAGCCCTGAGACTTTGGTGCTCCCACTACTGCTTTTTAATTTTGTTATCTTAAACCAAGGCTGCACGGACTAGCCAACCTTCCAGTCAATTCTGCTTTATCTATAAGGTTAGGAAACTATCTAGAAAGACATAGTACGATGTTAACTCCAAGATTGTGAAACTTATTTTCTAAATTGTCTTTAGTAGATATGTTGTTTACATAGTAAATATATAGTAAGAATAAAATTATCTTGAAGAGAGTATTTTTTAAATGGTCCTCTGGGAGTTATGCCAATGGTTGTCTCTAAAATGCTCACACACAGAAGTACACAAAATCACTGATAGTCTTGTGGCAATTTACTTTTCAATATGAGGCTTGTCACTTCACACATTTCTTTGTTTTTTATTTCATCATATGCAATTTTTTAAATTTACTTTTTGTTGCTGATACTACACACAGCAAGCACACACCTGGATTCAAGCTTCTCCATTCGGTGACACTGACATTCGTGGAGCTGCATAACCTCTCTCCCCTTCCTTTGCTGGCGGGCCCCTCCCACACTGACATAAACTCATGGCCCTCTAGGGCAGTGGTTCTCAACCTTCCTAAGGCTGCGGCCCTTTCATACAGGTCCTCATGTTGTGGTGACCCCCCAACCCTAACATTATTTTGGTTGCTACTTCATCACTGTCATTAGCAGTTTCCTCTCTAATCTTAAGAACGCTGTTGTCTATTCCCTCTCATACAGAGGGTGCTTAAAAGAGCAGATGCAGTCATGTCTTACTCGTTAACCTAAACTACAGTGCTGCTTCAAACAATTCAAGAAATAATTTTGGTTTAAAGCAGGTGTCCTCAAAGTATGGCCTGTGGGTCACATGCGGCCCGCCGAGGACATTTATCCGGCCGGCCGGGTGTTTTTGTCCCGTTTGTTTTTTTACTTCAAAATAAGATATGCACAGTGTGCACAGG